TTTATGTAATGTTGGGTTTTGTCCTCAGCATTTCTTCAAATTATAATATTGTATTTTCCCTACTTTCATTATGTGATTGTGTATGAACCACTGCTGTATTATATTTCTTAATCAATGCTCAATATGGTAGTAAAATTACCAGGAGCTATGACCTTTGACTACAGATTGTCAATAACAATATGTTTAGAAACGAGCAGGACTCGATAAAGAAAAGCATGGGCCTTTGGCTTCAACACATTATTTGACATGAGAGGGTGCTGCCTAAAAAGTGATGATGTTATTATAAAATTAATTTAGAACATATTAATATTTTAAGGAATCTTAGAGTTTCCAATGCTCACTTGTTTTAAAGAGGTTCGAGTTTAATATTGCCCCAATACATTGTAAAAGACTGACAATGATTTTAACAAGGTTATAGATAGTCCAGGCATCATCATTTAGGCATCTTGCACTGATTTTTATAGCACATGATTATTGTTTAGAATCTACTTCATGAGAAACTTAACTGGGCATCTAATTTTTGGATTTCTAGTATACTTTAATATTTACTTGCCATATAAAACGAAAAATGCTACCTTATTTGAGTTATTACATTTGCTGCTAAATTTGCATTGGAAACTCTACAAAGTCGATAGATGAAATCGATATTGCCATGTCATAATTTAAGTCTATTTGTAAATGTTAAATGTAGAAATGGGTGCTTCTGCTCCCAACAGGCTAGCGTTTTGTTTTTGCTCCATTCCAATCATCAACTAATTCTGATCAAGTGTGTAAATGAGATGATAAAAAGGTTCTTTTGATTACTAAGAAAATCAGCTAATATTACTCACAATAAGTTAGACCTGTTGGGGGCAGCAACCATGAAAGTCAGGTGTTTGTAATGAATGTTTTTAACTTGAGTGCTTGAGCTGTGATTGAATAAACTGTGTGTACATAGAATGCCAATAAAAATAATTGGTAAAACTGTCATACTGAGGAAGTTCCTAAATTTCTGTCACCCTACTCTCATAATTGAAGATATGCCTGTTGTTTGCCTCAACTTAAACTGTATATCCGTTAAGTTTCCAACAAATCTATTTCATGCTAATCTACCTCAGTAGAGAACCAAGATGTGAAACACCTTGACTCCCTCAGCTGCACAAATAAACACCGATTTCCGCACTGTGCTGAGCGCATATTGTGTGTCTCGTGATTGGATATAGCTTTGGTTTCACAATTTTCAACTCTTAAGACATGAGGAATCTTAACAAAAAAAATAATTACAAGTCATGTAGCAATATCACATTTATCTCACAACTTCATTCACAATATGCATCAATAGCAACAAGCACTCTTTCCAAAGATCTTGCTGACAAACACTTTGATATGTCATTCATTCTGAACTTGTTTCTTTGCTTTCTTCACCTTGACTTTACCTTTTTTGACCTTACTTACTGTTTTTGCATCATCAGTTTTCCTATCTTTAGCCTTTTTAGAATTACTTAATGTAGACTTGTCTGTTGCTCCTTTCTTTCCCTTAGGAGAAATACCATTAGACTTGGGAGACTTTGGTGTTTTTGGAGACTTCGGAGATACCTCTACATCCGACTTCTTGGCTTTTGGCTTTCCTTTCGGAATTGACTTTTTTTTCTTAATGGGTTTGTTGGTTTTCTCAGCCACTTCAGCCACTTTTTCTTCTTGTTCTTTTTCTTTGACAAGAATTTCTTTTGCCTTCTCAAAGGCATCACCCACAAATATATCATCATCATCATTGATACCATAAGTTTTGCCTGGCTTGTTGAGTTCATGGTAGGCCTTCTTAGTGACTCTACCAAGATATTTGGAGGCTGCACTTTTGTTCATGAGCCTTCGGTGCTAAAAAAGAGAAAAGAAATGATAGAAACTATTTAAAATTGGCATTAAATTAACAGATCCGTAACTTAAAAAAACTTCGAAGAAAACAAATATTGGGCAGTAACACCAAAACAAGATGTTACAGGGAGTTTGTTAATTAATGCAAATGCAACAAAAACCAATGACATAAGTACGAAACAAAAAGTACAGCAACACTCAGTGCGGGTTGACTATTCTATCCAGCTATTTTGCAGGTCTGTAACATGAATGCTGAACTAAAAACTATAGAAAAATAATAGAAATTAACTGATAACAAGTAGATACAATATGTACTTGTCAAAAGTTAAAATTGAAACTTAAACTTTTGTCCTAACTTTAACCATTGACAAAGCTAAAGTCCCTTGATAAAATGAGGTTTAATTGAGAAATATCTTACCATTGCCGGGGATACATAGTGAGGATTTTCCCACAGAGTGGCCCCACCAAAGCTACCATCAAATATTTTGATAGGATTTAAAACAAATCTCGGACCTGCAAGCGCCAAAATAAAGATTACAAAACAACTACCTTTAACAACAGGCAGAAAAAACATCACTAACAGGTATAGAAATTTACCAATTTCAGCAAGAGCACCATCTTCAGCCAAAATCTGATAGTTACGAAACCAGATACGATTGTCAAGGATTGAAAAAGTGAGAACATGATCAACAAAAGGCTGACTCTTAGGATGGCCATTTGGTGTGCCAAAGATCTGGAAAATAATACATACCAAATTGTAGCTTACAACAGAATAACAGTTAGAATAAGCTTACAGGCTATTTCCAAACTACCATAGAACAGACTGCCATGATACGCGCCGAAAATTCAATCTACACAATGGCACTGACAAGCCCACATGGGCAGAGGTCGGTAGATATTTTCACACAACAGTTTGGAATAGGGCATAGCTTCTCATACCTGAGTTAAAAGTTCTTTTAACAGAAGGTAGTGAGGTTCCTCATCAAAGCTCTTGTCAAATGATAGTAGTGGTCTGCTTCCTTTTAAACAGTTGCCTGTTAATTTAAGTTCTGCCATGGTATACACTGTAATAAGACAGAGATACTAATGAATATAACATATAAAAGTACAGTCAAATCAAATTGTAAAATAAAAAGGAAATGTCCCAACCATTCTCAACCAAAAATTTAGCTGAAGGTCCATTAGATGCATTTGCCAGCCACATGTAGAGGTCTCGGTGAAGACGTCCTTCTAACAAAATTGCTTTGTTGCAGTTCCGCATTTCACACACCTGCGAACAAATAATTGGACGTAAACCTTGGAAATGGTGATAACAAATGAATATTCTTGATCTCAGAGAGACAGGAAGAGAGAGACAAGAAGTATAATTAAATAATATACCTCGTTCACAACAAATAGATTTTCTCTTCTTTCTATTTTGTTCTCACTGCGGCAATGAGGCAATAACGTTCGTAGGTCAGCCATAAGGTGTCTGTCTCTGTGGTTTATTCCTCTGGCAGCAAAAACAAGTACTCGCTGTTTGTTGATCCATTTTGACTGTAAAGTAGATATCAACACACAATGAGAAGAGCAATCCAAGAACAAAGTTGCCTGCGTCAGTTTATTGATCTAATTCAGAACCCACATATAATAAAGATACAGTGCAACAGATGTATAATCGGTACACACATGTATTAAAAAGTCTTAACCTAACTTCTACACAATATATTTCTTGTATGTTACCTTCTTAGGAGGTGGTTCGTCAGAGGATCTGGTTGTTGGGGGTAACTCAACTTGATCTTCTTCATCGGATGAGTCATTTTGAACAAAGTGCTTCCTTTTCTTTCCTATTTTCACACCCATATTTGATCAAGTTCGAAACACACGTGTATAACTTGCTTGTTTGTGGTAAACTGACCACAGCGATGCGATGCGATGGCGGACAGAGGGGGCAGGGGCAGAGGGGGCGGGGAGAAGGGGGGACTGGACAATATTCAGATGTGTATTCCCCTGAATTTGTCATAAACACGTCCTACCACACCTGCACCAATTTAATTTAAATTGTTTCGTGATCACTAGAGTGCAGGAGCCACTGTATGTATGGTATCCTCGCTCAAAATAGACATTGTCTAAAATTTAAATTTTACAGAACTGCTTATTCGTAGTCTCGCGTAAGTTGTAAGTCAACCCGATGGAAACTCTGAATGAGAGGACGTTGGCAGCCGTGCAAAAGAGGGAAGGGACGAAGAGGGGAGGATATAAAGTTCTGTTGCGCAAAGTGACAGTGTTCATTCACAGGCACAAGCTTATAGTCGAGCGTCGAGTTGCTTATCAGTTTCGTTTGCCCGCAGCTCATTCCAAGTAAAGGTGAGTACTGTCCCTCGACGGCCGACATTGGTGGTCTTGTTGTTGCGACTACTGTATGACGCATCCGTGGCGTTAATTTCACTGGCCTGAAACTTGCTTATTGTGTTGACATTGTGCCAGTCGACGTAGTTTGCAAAGTCTGTATTCCTTGGTTCTTTACGCTCGGTGCGTGGGTGTGGCCGACAAATGCTATATCAAGTTAAGCCAAGCCGAACGCGCAAGCCCAAGCCCAAGCCGAAACTCAAGCCCGATGCGACGAATTTTTCGGATTAAAGTAATGCCAGTAACACAGAATTCTTGCCCCAACAAATGCACTTAAATACACACTAGCTGCGGCAATGCGCGTAAAAATGAACTCTGAAAACACTAAAAACATAACTTAGATCCGAAAAATCCGTCGCATCGGGCTTGAGTTTCGGCTTGGGCTTGGGCTTGCGCGTTCGGCTTGGCTTAACTTGATATAACAAAAGTACCGGCGGAGGGTTCGGTGGTTTGGTTTAAATATTTCATGTCTTCCGGTTAGCGAGCGGTATGCTTTTTGACGCATGTGTTTTCTACTATCTGAAATATGGCCTGCTGCTTCTAGCAACGACAACGTAGCGGTGACGGCCCAGCCTCTAGTGCCTGTTACAGTGACTCTGTGGATTATTCAATCTTTGACCCTTTTATCATATGATAACAGCTTTAAGTTCACTACTCGTGGCATTTTTATTTTTCCAGATGGCTGCTAGGTTGGATTTTATAATCTTCGGTGCTACCGGCTTTACTGGTCAGTACACTGTTCAGGAATTAATCAGGATTTCTGAACAAAAGCCATGCACATGGGGAGTAGCAGGGAGAAACAAAGAGAAACTCAATACTTTACTGAAGACAGTTGGGAAGAAAGTGGGTGCGTATGGTTTACATTTTATTTATAATTCCTTAAAATTGTATTTTCAATTTATCAAAAAACAATGCTTAATGGATATTCCAAAACTTTTCAGGTAAAGATTTGTCATCTGTTGAAGTTTTTATTGCTGACGTTGATGATGCTAAGTCTTTGGAGTCAATGGCATCCCGGGCGAAGGTGGTAATGAACTGTTGTGGCCCATACCGTCATTGGGGGGAGCAAGTTGTCAAAGCTTGTATTGCTGGTGGTGCTAGTCATGTGGATGTTAGTGGTGAACCTCAGGTAATTATTTTCTGACCGTAATCTACCTTTTCACACATCACATATTAATATCTAATGTTATCTGATTTTCTTTAATAAAACAGTATATGGAGCAAATGCAGTTAGAATATCATGATGCAGCACATCAAAAGGGAGTTTACATTGTCAGTGCCTGTGGATTTGACAGCATCCCTGATGATTTGGGCTTGGTGTTCCTTCAGAACCAATTCAAAGGTATGGAAACTCTAAGTTGGATGAAAACATGTCTTGTTTCAGTTATTCATGCTCCTTTTTATCCCTAGGTGACCTGAATTCTGCAGAAGCCTACATTGATGGGAAAATAGAGGGACCTGTTTCCGTAAGTATTAGAATAGCTACGCTTTTGTAAATCCTTACCTTTTTTAAATATGTTTTTTCATTTGTTTTAGGGTGCTACACTTCATTATGGAACATATGAATCTGCTGTTTACGGAGTAACCCACAGAAATGAGCTTAGATCCCTGCGTCAAAAGCTTTATCCAACACGGCTCCCCAAGCTGACACCTGTTCTGAAACCACGGTAACAACTATTTCCTGTATGAGGATGTCATCCATTTAACTGAAACTTTGCAATTAATCTTTCTGTATTTGCAGTGGTGTTTTGTTCAAGAGTGAAGTTCTCAATAAGTGGTGTTTGCCATTTTTGGGAGCTGATCGCGCCGTAATGATGCGCTCTCAACGCTTCTTTTATGAAGTTGATAAGAAGCGTCCAGCTCAAGTGCATACCTACATATCTATGCCATCTCTTCTCAGTGCTATTGGTACAATTCTCTTTGGGATAATATTTGCAACATTTTGCCAGTTTTCTTGGAGTCGTAAATTACTTCTCAAGGTGATTTCATATTGATCTATTATTTTCACTCTGGGCAACTTGTCAGTACATTAATGTGAGCATAATTTTCTTACAGCACCCAAAATTTTTCACAGCTGGATTAGCTAGTCATGAAGGACCCTCTGAAGAAACTATGAACAACACTCTATTTTCTGTCACCTTGGTTGGTAAGGGCTGGGAAGAGAAGGCTGCTCAACCTCTAGATGCTCATGATGGACCACCAACAAAGGAAATTACTGTCAAAGTAAGCTTTATAGACCTGCATCAAAATTTGAAATTTTTTAAGTACTTTTTCTCTCTTTAACTAGATTTGTCTTTCAGGTCAGTGGTAGAAATCCTGGCTACGGAGCCACTTGCACAACTTTGATCATGTCTGCATTTATGATTCTTCATGAATCTGATAAAATGCCATCTCGTGGTGGAGTTTATTCACCTGGTGCGGCATTTGCGAAAACTTCCATTATAAGTGAACTGCACAAAAATGGACTCACATTTGATGTTATTTCTTAATCAGCCAACACAGACCATACCGTTGTAAGACTGATTGGCATTTTTTAGTATTTAATCAAAAGTTTATAAAATAGACTTACTTTTAAGATGAATTAGTTGTTATAATCCAAGTTCTAACATGTTTATAGGATGTACCTACTGTGCACGGGAGGGTTTAAACTTTTATAGCTACAAGCAGTAATCAAGGGTGATGCTCTACCTTTTAAATATTTTGTGTTACATGTAATTTAAATATTTTTTCTTGTTAGTGAACTAGGTGTTTTAAAAGAAACATTAAAATTTTTATGTAAGAGACTTTATTTTTTCCATTATGAATTCCATTCCACCGTACACATACCTGGAACAAGATCATGAGTTACTGAAAACCAACTAAACCGTGCTTCGGACCACTCACACTTCTTCCTGCAAGATTGGAGTTTAAATTCCTTCCTAGATTGAATAACACACTGTTGGTTTTGAATGTTGAGTTTCCCGCTGCGACTTGCACTATCGATCTAGCAACAGAAGTTTTTCGTAGTTGGGTAAAATAGACCACAAGAAAAAAAGGGCGGGGCTTGTCGCACTCTTAATTTCTCATAGTCAACTTTCCTGAACACTAGGTGCAAAATCAAATTTTGGATAAGCGATCAACACACTGTTTAAACCTCGTATTTGAGTATAAAACTAATTAATTTTCTGCAATGTAAGATCCATCTTTGTTAATTTTAGATTTTTAGCAGTGAGGTGGTCTTGTTTATTTTGCCTTATCCCATTTCTTTACAGTTTGTTGATCACTTTGGATACTACACTGATGGGCGTATTGTGGTCATGTAAAATGGCTGTTACTACAGGATGTCAGTAAAACATGAATGAAAATGTGATCTTTATGAATTTCTGATTTATTTACCCAGAGGACTTGCACCTGTTTTCATGTAAGTACTATACTGTTCTTCACTATGTTGTTCTCTTAATTTTGGGGGACTTAACATCCTTACGGGAAGCAATTGTTCGTTTGATTCTTGGTGGGGATTGATTACTTGGAGAACCTATGCGTTTCGTCTACACATTTGTTTATTTCTTACCACAACTACACTTTGCAACTTTTAAATGATATCTTGGACCTCATCTGGTTCTTTTTATTGATTTAACCAAACACTACAGAGGCTCTTTTAAACTAATTTAGGCTTTTAGCCACGATTGTGGCCAGTCATGACAGTATCCGGATTTGTAGTGTTTTGACAATTAACTACTTTGAGTTCTGATTTTATCGGAGTTCCTTCACACTATTATCACCTTTGTCATCCATGCACTTGATGTTCAAAATCCCTGCACCTATAAATATCGAATACCAAGCTGCTTTTTCGTGACAACAAAACTTCTAATAAATTCTCCTTTGTATTTTCTTCTCTTTCTTGTAATTTTGAAAATTGATTGTGACTGTATTTGTTGCTTTCAAGTTAATGAATACATAATCTCCTGTCAATCTCAGGTCTACCTCTTTGAATTAAATTTATTGAAAATAACCCTAACCTTTTTATGGAGTCCTATTCAGTTCCTCATAAATAGTATTAGGTACGGCATGTGTCTTATTTTATATCTCTTTTTCTCATTCGCAGCATCATGGAGTGGGTAGAGATAATCGAGCCTCGCACCAAGGAGCATATGTATGCAAACCTTACTACTGGAGAATGTGTTTGGGATCCACCTCCTGGTGTGCCTGTGTAAGTTTCTAAAAATATAATTTCTTGATTTCTTGTTTGTTTCTTAGTCAGCATATTAAGATATAATTTCTATCTGAAATATTTCATATTATTTCAGAAAAAAGACAGACAACAACCAGTGGTGGGAATTGTTTGATCAGAATACATCCAGGTTCTATTATTACAATGCAACTTCCCAGAAAACAGTCTGGCATCGACCTCAAAACTGTGACATTATACCCCTTGCAAAGCTGCAGGTAAGTAATTGATTTATGACATTGACTAAGTTAATACAGAATCGTCTGAAATTGTTGGGAACTTTGTTATTTGAAACTGAGTACTTTATTTTGCTTTTCAGACCCTAAAACAGAATACAGAGCCAGTTGTTGACGACTCAGTGTCATTGACTGACAAGGAAACAACTGGGACACAAACACCTGGTCATACTCGACGAGATGACAAAGGATCTGGCATGGTGATTGTTAAATTTTCTGACCTAATTTCCAAGGCTTGAGTTGTAATTTATTATTTCTAAACTCTAATATCTTCTTTTTTTCTGAAGGAGCCCAAACGAAATGAAGCCATTCGTCTCAGTACACGCAGTATGCAGTCTGTCAAAAATTCAGTCAATAGTGAAACTCAGACCTCGCCTCTGGCATCTCCACACATGAACAGGAGACCTCACCATCATCATCATTACCATCACAAACATCATGCACATCATTCTCAATCATCTCATGTTGATAAAGAAAAACATGAAAAATCGAGTAAAGAAAGATCTGCTGAGAGAGATTTGATATCTGATAGCCGTAATCCAATTGCTGATTGGGAGAGGGACAGAGGAATGGATCGAGACAAAGACAGAGAAAGGCGAATTGAAAAAGAGAGGAGAACTGAAAAAGATAGAAGGGAGAAGATGCAAGAAAGGGAAAGAGGGCACGAATGGGACCACCGTAGTGAAAAGGAGAGAAGATCTGAAAGAGATCGTCCATCTGATAGGAATGAACGAGAGAATAGAGAGAGAGAGCGCTCTACAGCCACAGGCACAGGCTCCACTTCAAGCCACCATCCGTGGCCAAGTAGAACAGCCCAATCACAGGTATGGTCTTGTCTTCGTGAAGTATAGTTTTCTTCTCATTTCTTCCTTAAAATTCGATCAATGTTATTCGTTGCTTCTTACACAGGATTCTGGAAGATCGAGCGACTCAAGCTCAGTCTCCCATAGTAGGACATCACTAGAATCAAGTGGTTATCGCATGAACGAGTCACCCCTTCATCAAACCAATAGAAGTGATCGTTCAGAAAGAACTCAACGGTCGGAAGTTGGAGATAGAAGGGACCATGCCGAGAGAAATGAATGGACTGAGAAATCTGAACGCTCTGATCGCCCTGAGAAAGAAAGACCCGACCGACTTGGGCTGCGACCAATTGCTGCCTCCACTAGCACTCCTTTATTCAAAAAGAAACCTCTAGGAGAGGTGAATTCGCAGCAGCAGGTATGAGTTTAAGTTTATTATAAGAATTTTAATAGATTTCTCTGACTTTCAACTGATTTTATCTATTTTGATGATTAAATAAAATATAGTACCAGAAAGGAAGTCTTGACAAGTATGGGCTTCTTCCAAGTGGGTCTTCAGGAAGAGATCCGCCTCAAACACAGAATTTACCTAAGCAACGCAGTTTTGATGTTGAATGCATTACTGCAGGTATGAACTTAAAGTGCACAGTTTTACTCACCTACTCACGTTTTTCTCGACTGATTAGACTTTGACTAACTGTCTCTTTTTTTCAGCTGGAGGAGCTTTTAGCTATGATGGACGACACAAAGTTCCTACCCCTAGCCAGTTGGCGAGGAGTTACAGCTTCATGCAAAAGAGAGAGAGAGAAAGAGAAAGGGATGGTGATAGAGATGAAGATGACTCTATGCACGAGAAATATTTCATGAATCCAGTGGCGATTCGTTCTGTAGAGTCCACCCCTCAAACTAGGAGGTACGTAAAATTTGCATCATTTACACTACTGCCAGTGCTTGTTGTTGCACGCAAATAAGTTCTTGTTCCGATTCCAAGCTAGGTTCTTAATCATATATATTTACTTATATATATTTTTATTATTTTTTGTAATTGCTTGAATGATTGTTTTGTTGAAGATATTGTCGCACATTCATATCTCTCTTACTTGATATGGTAGGTGTATGCATAGATAGAAAGTTTGAAACCTGTATGTTCTTTGTTGCTTTATTCTTATTATTCTTTTAAAGAAGACAACCTTTTTATTTGTGACATTATTTGTTGCAAAGTTTTGTTTTTGTATTTTTGCTTGTGGTATTAGTGCAATTAGAACATCAGGATTGTGATGTCTCAAAATTTAAAATTTTACCAGAGCCTTTCTAATTTTGAAGCATTTCATACAGTATTTATTTTTTATTTGATAGCTGATATACTTGTTTTTATTCAGTGTCATTTGCTGATAATAATTTTTAGCTTACAATTGTATGCATGCACCTAATGAAATGGCAGTGTAGCTTGTATTTTATGGGTATTTGCTAATTCCTGTTATTGTTCTTGCTTTTGTTTGATTTTGCATGTGCATTTCCCAATTATGTTGACCAGGAAATACCATCACAGTACCGCCGAGCATCCAGCACTCCCTACTCCTAACATGTCCCGTAAATCCTTTGTGACACGCCCTCATCATTCACAACTTCCGCATTCCTCTCACAGTTCGTCTTCCCACTCCCGAACCCGACGCAGTCCAGCTACTGGTGCCAGCTTTCGTAGTAAAAACACTGGAGAAATTTCTAGCAGTGATGATGAATCAAGTGCATCACTGTCACTCTCTGCTTCCCCTCCTGCTATATCTCCATTGTCTCCTCGTGCAAGCATCAGGACTCCATCACATGGTAAAGCAACATATCCTCCTGAAAGAGAACCTCAAAGTGCTCGAGAAATGAGGAAAGCTTTTGAAGATCTGAAGAAGACCAAAGACCACCAGGTTGCCAAGGAGAAACAACTTAGTAGTAGAGAACCGAAAGACCAAAGGGATATGAAGAAATCAAAGGATGCTTCAATCTCCATACACAAGCAGGATGCAAAATATTCAGTTAGTGAGAGAGATTTATCTGGAAGTAAATCAAGAAATCTTGGCGGAAAAGCCCCACAAGAGATCGAAGGGAAGGCCATGAAGGATGTGTGGGAATTGAGAGTTCCTCATAAAGATGTTGCTGTTAGCATAGCCCCTGAGTATAAGGATCCATATGATAGTAGAGAACGTAGGCCAAGAAATAATACTGAAAGAGATATACGCTCTTGGGAGCCCAAGGATGCAAGAGATTCAAAAGAATCCCGGGAATCCCATAAAACAGCAAAAAGTACCAAAGACTCAAGAGATTCCAGCTTTTCAAGAGACATTCGAGATGTGAAGACTACAACCCAAGGAAGAGATGTAAGAGAACCCCAAAACAAACTTGATATACATCAGTATTGGGAATCTGAAAGAAATACCCATGAAAACCGAGGAAGCAGAGACACTCAGCTGAAGCCGAAATCATGGGATCGCAGTGGAACCAAAACCATTGCTGAATCCAGAGAATCTAAAAATAGTGCTACAAGTACCAAGGAACCCAAGACAAGTGTTGCTGCTACCCGAGAATCCAGAGCTGTAGTTGCCGCCTCAGACAGATCTTCTAGCACGTTAGTATTGTCCCATCCTTGATTTGGCCGCAAATATGTTTTTTTGTGCATGCCTTTTGTCACTACTATCCATCCTGTCTTTTCTAATGCATTGCTAAGGCATGTTTCTGCTCCTCTCTTTAATGTATTTAATTTGGAGATTTACTTTCATTAGCCATAAATTAGTAGTCTGTAGGCTTTTCCCTAAGCATGGTGTCTTGCATTAAAAAAAAAGATTCTTGTTGATTGTTGTATGATGCAGTATGTTAACCTACAGTTGTAGAAAGGAGGAGGTTGTTTAAATTGTGTGTTTGGTACAGTTTTAAGGACTAACTGTATCAAAATTCCTAGTATGAGTGTAGCAATGTAACACTTTCCATTCGGGCTGAAACCCCATGTGGACCCATCACATGGGAAGTATTAAAAAGTCTGAATTGCTACTAATGTAATTAATGGTGGCGGATTCTTGTTTTTGTGTGATATTCCGGTATCTTTTTGTCTCGGTTGTTATCACAACCTCTTTAATACCGTCTAACAATGGTTTGCATGATATCTTTGTACCTAGTTTTGATTTTGTGGCTTATTTTTATTATAAATATGTGTTGTTTTTATTAATATCAACCCATCTAATTTTCAGGAACAATGGTAATAATAAATATATGTCTGAATCTGATGCTGACAATAACTCACCCCTCTATTCCAATGTTGACTACCCGTCATATATTATGGATTCAGAGAAGCATTCTCATCTGCTGCCATTACAGCAGTACATTTTAGAACAAGCCAAACTCTCAGGTATAAATATTTGAAAGTACATGCTGTATATATATACTTGTTATCAATGTACTAAAAGTTGTTATGTTTCTTGTGTTGTTTCTGTTCAGGCTGTTATCGATTTGGAGATCCATTAAATGAAGAAGTTGATTCTCTCCACTCTGATGATGAGGATCGACTTTCAAGGTCTCGACCCGAAGATGATAGCGATGAATTTGCTGATGATGAGGGAATGAGCAACCAGGGTGACTCCAGTTCGCAGGAATATTTGGATGATAGCAACTACTTGGAAGAGGAAGAGGATGATGACGATGATGATGATGACGAGGACAATAGTTATGTTTCTCATAGGAAGTACTTGCCTTGTAAGCCAAAATACAAATTGAAAACTTCTTTAACATTATCTTTTATTTTGGCTTGTTTATTGATATATATTGCATGTATCTTTTAGCTGATCCACAAATGCCCGACTATGTTGATGGTCATGAAGCAAGGATGGCCTCTGGCAGTTCAGGCCTTTACTATAATACTGGTATGACTGCTCATGGAAGCCTGCAATCTAATCAGAGACCAGGTATGTATTGATTCATCTAACAGAAATCTTGTTCTCGTATAACTACAATATCCTTAGACATGTAGATATGTACTTGTACACTCACACCAGGTTTTAATCTATTTTTTATTTTTTTCATAATTTTGTTTGGCAGGTGCTCTTAATTTACCACAAAGTGCTCCCCAAGAAACTGTCCATGCATCATTGAAACGAAAGAAGGATGCACCTCTTCCACCTCCACCTGCCTTGTACTCCCCAATTATGGAACGTCATGAGGTAATACTCAATGTCTGGTGAATTACTTGCAAGAGCTAAAATTAATGTAGATGAAGTTTTTTTCTTTCAATTAAAATCCGTTAGAGCAGAATGTATGTGTAGACTATCAAAGCTGAGAATCTTGCATAACATAAGAGCATGCTACCACTATGTAGTATCTTATGGAATTCACTTTTACTTTCATTCATATTTTAATTTGTTTTTTAGTGTTTTTTTTTTTTCATATGGAAGTTTTTGGCGAGTCAGAATTACACCATTTTCATTACTTTCTACTCCCGCACCATCCCTGTTTAAGTTTTCTTTTTTTTTAAAACATCCACATATTTTTTCTGTTATTTTTACAGTTTGCCGTTGGTCCTCTTTCCCCTCAGTCTGATCCTGGTTGCCCCTCGTCCCCAAGGCCCTTTCTATTTCACACTCCAACTGTTTGTTGCTATCATCGTCCAATATCACTACCGATCTCTCCAGCTCCCTCTGTACCCCGGTCCCCTGCCCTGCCATGCCCTGCCCACTCCTTTGTTTTTCCCAAGGCGTACCTTCCAGTGATTGGCGGGCCCGTGTCAGTCCAAATGTGTCAGGTACAGATAAATTGCAATCCCTCCCACGGTGCATAACTCCTTAAACAATGCGCTTTTGCACCCTATAATGATAGTCTGTAAATATTTGGCCAAGCTGGCACTGGAATGAGGTTTGCACTTATCTAACTTAAGCCTGTTAAGCTGTAAATTAAATTATATTTTACAGCTACCATGAAATGGCAGGTTATTTGAAATAGTATTTGTTTGTAGTATGTTGCAGTGCTTGTCCTTTTAATAAAGTCAAGCCATAATAAGTCACTACTGAATTGCTCACAGTGGAGTACAACTTGAGTCATCATATGCATTTCAATATGATCCTGAAATAGTGACATTTTCTGGATAATTTCTGGTACTTTTTCCTAAAACAGTATTACATATTACATAGATTACTATTTGTACAAAGTCTTGCTAGGTTTGCTTACATGGAGCTTTTTTGCATGCATTTTGGGTACACATTACTGTTAACAAGATCACAACAGCTTTGAGGCTTTGCGTACTTTATCAATAGCAATAGCTAGTGGGAATTTTGAAGAAAAAGAAAAAGAAATATCATTTGAGAAACGGGTAAATATTGGTATGGAATAAATTTGTCTACTTAATCAGATGGGTTTACCTAGTAAGAAACATGTAGCTTGCAAATGAGTACTTATGTTACAGATTTAGAATCTATTGAGTCAAAACTTGTTTAACTTTATTCCTATTAATTAATTAATTTCTTCCCCCCTCTCCACCACCAACAGCTTCAACACTTTAAAATAACCTACTCTGTAATCTAAAATGATAAGAATATGGATATTATTGGGAAGAGGTAATCAATTGGTTGTTTTGTTTCCAGGTGTCTCGCTCTGCACTCAATCGAGAAAAGAAACAAGCATCTGATAGTGACATTGAAAAGTATGCTCAAGACAATCTTAACATTCACAAAAAGGGTATCTTTCGAAAGAAATTTTCTGTCAGAGATATGCTCTCATGGTCAAAGGTAACAAGACCAAACTTAGGATTCCTGAGTGTAGTTTTTTAAATATAACGACACTACTGTAATTCTAAATGGTTGTCTGTTATTAACTGCTGAATTTTTACTTATTCTCTACAGGATCCTATCAGGAAAACTATGCTTGTGCTTTCTGATAAAGCTTTGAAGAAAGATGCTTGTGAATTGTTCAAGTTGATTCAAATATATATGAGTGACCGAAAAGCTAAGGTTGGAATGACACTAAATAGTGTAGCTCTGGACATTTGCAATATAGGATATGGCAAACCTGCCCTAAGAGATGAACTGTACATACAAATATGTCGTCAAACAACTGAAAATCCGAGGAGGTAAGTTGTCTATTCAAAGGTTTTTGTCAATACAACTCTACATTACACATGTAGATTTACCAAACTTTATACCTTAAACTTTAATACCTTCTTTCCATGTTCAGAGAAAGCTTGCGTAGAGGCTGGGAGTTAATGGCTATATGTTTGGCATTCTTCCCACCATCACCCAAGTTCCAATCATACCTTGATGGTTATATGAATCGTCACCGTGATCCTAGTTTCGATTTCCCTGAAGTTGGAAAATGGCCTATTCATGTACAAATCAGTCACTATGCAACTGTTGCCTGTAAGCGACTTGATCGTATTGGTGTTAGTGGGAAAAGAAGTCCAAGAAAACCTTCTGTAGAGGAAATTGATCAAGCAAGGGTATGTAATAATTTTATTTTTCTCAATGTTACCCAGTTTATTTTAATAAAATTTAACTCTTAAATCATTAAACTTTTCTCAGATTCAAATATTTCGTCCAAGTATGTTTGGTAACACACTTCAGGAAGTTATGCAAGTTCAAAGGGAACGGTTTCCACACCGCAAACTTCCTTGGGTGCAAACTGCTTTATCTGAAGAAGTGCTAAGGCTTGATGGAGCTCGAACGGAAGGGATTTTCAGGTAAATATTCCAAGTTGAAGGGCTTTGATCCTTATTGTGTATGTAATTGTCTTTGTGTATAGTGTGTGTCTGTAGTACATGCTGTTACATATTTTGTTCCCTTTTACAGAGTTTCTGCTGATGTTGATGAAGTGACAGCCCTTAAGTCTCGTTTAGACCATTGGGAACTGCCTCAGGATGCTTCCACTGATGCGCATGCTCCTGCATCTCTCCTGAAGTTGTGGTACAGGGAGCTGTACGAACCACTTATACCAGATGCTCTTTATAATGAATGTGTTAATTTCCATGACCAACCTGAAAAAGCAATAGCAATTGTGCAGCGTCTCCCAGAACTAAACCGTCTTGTTTTGTCCTATCTCATTCGTTTCCTTCAGGTGAGCTCAATAATTACTTTATTTCATAAAAATCATGCTGTACTGTCTAAATTTGCTAAAATCTCCTCAACGATGTAGACTGATTTTGATTTTGTGTTTTTTTTTGTCTGTTTTTATTAGATATATGCAAGACCAGAAGTGGTTCAGGTTACAAAGATGGATGCCAGTAATCTTGCCATGGTCATGGCACCTAACTGTTTGCGCTGCACTTCAGAAGATCCTAGGGTAATTTTTGATAATGCCCGTAAAGAAATGGCATTTTTACGCACCCTTATTCAAAGTTTGGATACTAGCTACATGGAAGGAGTATTGTAGATGGTTGTGAATACCACTGCTGAAAAAGACTGACAAGATCCGCACAAAAGCCATCACGGAAGTTTTGTCTAATGTTGATCAGCTCAACAAATCTGTTCTATTTTCTTTGCATTTACAGGATTACAAGTTTTCAAAATAGTATATATTATTCATTGTGTTACCTTTTTCGTGACTTGGATTATTATATGCAGTATGTACGATAATTGAAGTAATGTCTACTTGCCTTTTGCCATCTTTATTTACTCTTAACGCAATACTATTGTACTCTACTTAATTTTAATATTCAGCTTGTTTTATTCCTTTTACTTATTTATTACTGTACCCTACATCTTTACTCAGGCTTTTAAATGATCATCAGAAAGGTTCTTGCTCTTGGTTTGTGATCTTGAAAGTGGCTGCATGTACCACAAAACAATTATTTAGTCATATAACCTTTGTCATATTTACCAATTCTCTTCCTGTTTTATGAGCAATGCTATCAAAATACAATTTTATAGATGAGATACAACCTTGCTTGATTATCTTTCGTAGTACATTTGTCATGTCACGTTGGATCTTTTCTCTTCAAGTAAATGCAGTATTTGTAGGTTTTTCTGGTTTCAAATCTGCTAGGTCTGATTTTGGGGCATGATATCATGATCTCTGGATTTAGGTAGCTATTTCCATTTCCCTTTGTATTTCCAGGATTTTATTATATGAACTAGGAAGTTGTGCTGATTCATTAGACTGACATTAATTTATTTTAGATCCTACGGTATCTGCATCTACTCTTGCCAAAGCAAAATCAAAGTCTTTTCATTTTGAGGAACCAGGTTAAAAATTTAATGTATTGTCAAAATCTTTTTTCTTAATTAAGGCTGTTGCGAGTTTGGGGTGCTAGTTCATAATTTATTTGTCTTATGGAAACATGAAACGCAACAGATTTTAACGAAGTCCTCACCTTAGCCAATTCATTTTAACATACAAACATGTGATCTGAAAACACTCCAATTTGTTTGTGTTTACTGAAAATATTGTTTTGCCCGTATTTTCCCGCTTCACAAGTGAAGCTCTTAATGCAGGCAGTTAGGCACTTTGCTAGGAGTTTGTATTCTTATTTTCCTTAAAGTTTGTAGATATGGACTTGGTTTCATAATTTGCTTTGTCAACTAACTCAATATTACGTTCTTTTATTTGTGTTTGTGTATCAAGACCATAATATAGATTAATAGAATTCGCTTAATCTAAGGTAGATGATGTACTGAAAGACATCTACTTAACACATACTAACTTTATTTTCTTTGTTAAACTTTTTTTTGTCATTAACTTGGTAAGTTGACAAAGACTCTCAGTGCCAGTGGAGGTCTCTTCATTTTTAAGTATTAACCCATATTTTATTGAGGTTACGACCAAACTGACAATCTTGAAGATTGTGTAGATTTTCAAAACTACCGTACTGTTGAATCTCATTCATGGCACGTTGCTTGAAGTATTTATCCTATATTTTAGTTGTTACTTACAAGTTGTAGCATTACGTCTCTTCTTGTCTCTTATTTGATATTTAGTCTGCTGAGAATATGCTTGTGTATTTTAACTCTGTGCTGCATTTTATTATTGTAACTCTTAGCTTCAGCACTGAGGCCATTGAAAAACACAGCATTTCAAATTCCAAGTACATACGTATTAAAACATTTAAAAATTGAGAGTTTTGTTTTGTATTTGTGTTGTGGATATGTGGGTTCATATATTTTGGACAAAATGCAGGACATCATAGTTTGACAGACTTAGGGTACTGCTACCTTGTTACAGTTTATGTATATAATCTCAAGCCTGTTTTTTCATGATTGTGGCAACAGTGAGGTTTAAAACCAAAGATATTTTCTTGTTTTTTTTTTTTTAATGATTTTTCTTGATCAATGCAGGGTCAAGGTACAAATTTCTACCCCCCTCTGTAGGCTAAGAAACTTTATTTGCAGAAGATGAGGCTTATTGACTTCCATGCCAGAACTATATTAAAATGCAAAAGGAGGGAAACTTTGTGTTCCTGTCTATATTTTTTTCAATATTTTCTGAATCTGTAGGTATGGACAGTTCCTAACATTTTTTTTTTCTTTTGCACACTTATTTTTAATTTCCCACTAGTATTTAGCGGTATTTTCTCAACTGAAGTGTTGTGCGTGAGCCTTCCATGGCACAAAATTCACTTGATGCTTGACTTTGCTTGCTGATAGCGGATGAAAAAAAAAGGGGGTCATGATGTTTGTTGAAGAGACTGTTCTGCTCTCGAGCCTCTTATCTTCATTCTTACATGTCAAAATTAATGTTGGCCTAAAGTTTTGGATCACATTGTAGAGAGGTTCTCTCCATCGTGGTGTGGATGCAAGGCAGCTAAATTCCAAAGCAGCTTGAAGTTCTTGGTGAGCAATAACAGTATAATCAGTTATATTTTGTACACTTCGATACTTAGATGTAGGTATTGTGCATACCCTAATTTGATTGGTATGCCACATTATGTATATCTGTTTTCTTTTAGACTTTATTTTAATAACTGTACAGTTATTTTTATTGTTACTAATCAGCTGAAAGTATGCTAATCCCAATGTGTTCTTTGAGCTAGTTGTGTTGTTAGGGAGGTAAGCTCTCATGATAAAGGTAGTCATAATATATAAGATGCTATAGATAGTTAGGTACAAGCTCTTGTACTCACTCTCAGATCTTGTCCTATTTATGGAGTGTTATTTTAGACTGTAGGTTGAGGCATATTTTAATTCCTTTCCTACTATGTGCTAAACTTAACATGCTGGTGCCTCCATAACAGAAGAATATTTTGAATGCACCAAGATCTATCAACATTAGTTAAAACGCTCAAAACGCTTATGCAAGTGGTTATTTTAGAATTCTCAAGGTTTCTTCAAAAATAAAAGAAACTAAATAATAGAAAATTTTGCTTATTTTGTAAAGAAGTTTATGCAATGGAAAAGCTCATATCAAAGCTTTTGGGTTTGTTTACTTTTGAAGATGGTCAAAAGCCTGTTCTTATTTTAAACTGAGACTAAGAAGGTCTTGAATTTGTAGTGTCTACCTACATGCCAATTTTCATTGACTGTTGTATTGGTAAGGCTTGCTGCTTGGTGATGTGCAGAGATGTGTGTTCGTCTTTTAGGTTTATAGGAATCATTTTCTGCATCTACTGTCTTATACAATTGAAGTGATCCGATACTTGTGAATTAGACGACAATATATACTACATGAGCAAATGTATTTTGTACAAGGCTTGTTTTGTTAGGTCGGTTTGTCCATCATCAAAAGGTTTACTCTAGGAATATTTTGTTCATCTTTAGTGCTCTTAATTGCAATGTTATTCTGTTAATTGTCAATATAAAAGTTGCATGAGTGGCTCTTCATCAGGAGGACAATGTAGATTCATCAGGGTAATGATTGTCAAGTTTCATGTTAAGTAATTCTCAATATGTTGGCTTAGTTATATTTGTTGAGTAAATTTTATCAGAGATTAACTACCCAACCGCATACTAAAGAGACCATAGAAGTCACCTTTAACAAAATAGAACTAAAACTAGTTTGTTCTGTTTCTATTATTAAAGTTAGTCGCCCAGTTAAATCAAATTACAGTATGACAAATAGGCAAAACAAATAGTAAATCTCTACTGACGTATGTGGATGCATCTAATAAATTGAAAACACTAACCTTAATTTTAGCCCCTCACTTTTGACTGTTTTCTCAATCATTTTCAGGAAAATGCATGGAGGCATATTATTTGCCCTCTAGTCCTAGTCTAGTCATAATAACAGTTGGAGTCCAATCATTGTTTCTCCTTCTTACCCTGTCTGTATTCTACATTGTACTTCAGCTTCATTAGTCACCACTGTTTAAATTTCATCTTCAGGATGTTAATTTAATCTTACTTTAATTTTGTTTTCTTTTTAATTTGTAAAAGTTACCACCATCATTGCCTACTGTTACGAACCATGGCAGCCATTTTCCATATTTCTGTATGTTTTCATTGGAAGTATAATAATATAAATCCCGTGATAGCACCACTTTCTTTTTATTCTACCTTGTTCCCCCCCCCCCCCCCATTACCATTTCCGCCACGTTACTTCGTAACGTGCGTGCTATCCCTTGCTAATTCTCTTTCCTCACAGACGGGCCACTCGGTTCGACCGAGCCCAAGTGAGATTCCTTTCCCCCGAGACGGAGCTGCCTCCCCATTACCACCAGAGATTCAATTCTCCAGTCACTACAAATTTTGCCCCATCTCTTTTCCCCTCCCGCTGCTTTGCCCGCTTCGACCGCCCAGCGCGGATCCTCGCCCGCCTCTCCTTTATTCACGGCCGAATGCGTCCCCGCCACCGTTCCTTTTCTCATTCCCCCTCCTTTGCGCAGGGAATCATCTTTGATCAACATTATGACTTCGTTTTGCGTGAAGCGATTTTCTGTGGCTGCGGCTGCATTCCCCGGCGTAGCACCCCCGGGCAAGGCCAGGCGAGGCAAAGCCCGATGGAGCCGGGCAGGGTGGCAGGGTCTGCTCTCCGCCACGCCACGCCAGCACCAGAACGGAACGGCCTGTGTCAGCGGTATTACTCTTCCCCTCCCATTTTGTGGGGAAAATCGTTTACCGACGATTTAGTGGTGAGAGCTCCCCCCC